GGCCCTGCTGCACGCCGCCCGGCGCGCGCCCGCGCCCGCGGACGCGCCGCTGCTGCGCGCCCAGCAGCTGGAGGCCTTCGCCGCGCTGCGCCGCGCCTACCGCGCCGGCGGGGAGCCGTGCGCCGCCGAGCCGCGCTTCCAGGCGCTCTTCCTGCTCTTCCACCTGGGTGAGCTCGCGGGCCTGCGCGCAGGGGCGGGGGAGCGGGCAGCGCTGCGCGGACCCCCCCCGCGGCCAGGCCCCGCGCGGCCCATCCTCGGCGCCCTGCGGGGTGGCCGGAACCTGCGCCCCACAGGTGCAGCTGTGCCAGTTCGGCGGGCCGGAGCTGACGGAGACGTGGAGGCCAGAGAAGCCGCCATGGCGTCCCGCTTGCTCTGTGCCCTCGTGAAGCTGCCCGTGGGGTGGCTTTGCTGAACCGTGGTTCGTGGCGAGGTCTGAACCCAGAACCGTGGCTCGGTCGGCTTGTGCTGCTGCCCTCTGCCCCCCGAGACTCGAAACGTGCTGACTGGGAGAGGAGCTGGCCAGTGCAGGGGAGACACGCTGCGGCTTGCTCGCTTGTCCTCGAGACACTCCGTGGCCGAAGCGATAACCCGGTTGAAGCAGGCCACGGCTCAGGATTACATGTGGGTGCTGCTGCCGTGACCATGTGCTTCTTTCCCCCCTTTCCGCCCACGAACAGGCTCCTCAGAAGCTCTCTGGCAGGTCCTCCAGCTCCCGGATGATGTCCGTGCCTCCCCGGAACTCCGGACAGCCTTGGCCATCCACTGGGCCTTCGTGGAGCGAAACTTCGCCCGCTTCTTCCGCCTGGCCCGGGCGCTGCCCTGCCTGCCCAGCTGCGCCCTGCTCCCGCACGTGGGCAGGGCCCGCCAGCTGGCCCTGCTCACCTTCAGCCACGGCTTCAGTGCCCGGAACAGCCGGTACCCCTTGGCCCAGCTGGCCCAGCTGCTGGCCGTGGACACGCTGGAGGAGGCCGCCGGGCTGTGCCGGGCGCACGGCTTGACTGTGCTGGAGGGTGGCTTCGTCGTCTTCCAGAAGGGCTCCTTCAAGGACCCAGGCCCCCTGGAATGCAGGCCGTCACGGGTGCTGGTGGAGGCGAAGTGGGGGGACGCGAGCCTGCTGGAGTTCGCCGAGGACGTTTGCAGCTGACGGAGTTGCGGATGCCCGGGAAGCTCCTGGGTTTGCCCTCCTCCCGGCCCCCGCGAAGTGCAGTGAGCCTCTCCCCGCATAGCCAAACTGGGCTTGCCCTCCTCCCGGCCTTCCTGTCTGGTTGAGTGCCCCCCCCACCTGTTTGCATCCTTTTGGCCACATCACGATGGGACCCTAAAGCCCGTAAGCACACCTAGCAGCTCAGGCTGCCAGAGCTCCTGCCGGGTTTTCCAGGAAATTCTGCACGGTGGAATGGACCGATTCGGATAAGTTACTTTGCATCAGAGAAATGTCCGATTGGCTTTCCTCCCCGAAAACAAACTTCGCCCTGCAAGTAGAAAGCTAGCCCATCAGTGCGGTTTCGGCAAAGGCTTTGCTGCTTCTGCTACTCACCAACGACCCTTAAAATGTGCCGGATCCTTGCGAAGTGCCTTTTGCCGCACTGGCCAGTTTTGCCCGTTTGCGGGACAGGGTGGAAGCTGCCAGGGCTGCACGCAGCAAGCGCAAGCCACACACGGGAGAAGGGGGTGCTTTGCACCGTGTTAAGGCAGCTCCTGGGGGCGCCCTGTTCAGTGGGGGCGGCCCCCTTCCCGGGCAGGCGCGGGCCCCTCGCTGTGCGTGGGAGTTGTGTGTGGCCAGTGGCCGTGGGCACGGGGCCCTTCGTCCCCGCTGGGGCAGCCAGCCCGGTGCCCAAGGACAGGCCGGGAGGGGTGGGTGAGGCCGGGCGCGTCCTCCTCGGAAGGCGCAGCAGCAGCAGCAAACGGGCTGCCTTTCCTGGTGCTCACGCGCTGCCTGCCGCCCTTCCGCCCCACCCTGAACGTGGCTGGCAGCCCAGCGTGGAGCAGGGGAAGCGGGCACCTCTCCTCGGGGCGCCCCGAAAAGCAGTCTTGAGCCTGCCAAAATGCAGCGCTTTATATTCTCAGATGTATTTTCATACATGAAGGTGGTGCTAACGGACCTACGCAATGGGATCTGTTTTGTGGAAAAATAAAGTAAAAATAAATAAAACGAAGCCTCTGCTCCCAGCCTTGTGCTGCTCCCAATCTTTGAGACGGTCTTCGGTTGCCCTCTAAGGGGGACGCCTGTTGGCGGATTACGGCTCTCCGGGGAGACGGACAGCTGCTTCCAGCCATCCCGGTGCTTTTCTCCACCTCCTAGGAGAGGCCCCAGCTCTGAAGATGGTTAGCGTGGAAACAGCCTACGCCTTCCAATATTTCCAACCGTTACAGATTTTTTTTCCCTGCTAGATCAATAGATTGAACCTTAAATCTTGGGAGTTTTAGGGCTTTTTTCTGTCTACACACACACAAATGCCCCTGAACTCCTCTAAAGGCCGTGTGCAACATCCAGCAGGAAATTCCAGCTGGGAAGGTGGCTGGAATTCGGAATGCTGCTGAAAAAGGTGTGATGATTGGAAATCGGGGAGGGGGGCGCAGGGGGGAGAAAAAGCCCAGAGGTTCAAAAGACTAATAAACAGTTTATTTGCATTTTACAAGATCAGTCTCCATACATTCTCAATTAATTTGCCGTTAAAGTGCTGACAGAGGTTTCCTTTTATTATTTTGCTTCTGTTGCATTTAAAATCAAGATATATTTGTTAACAGCAACAAAAAAGATAACCAGTAGCATCTGTGGGAAGAAACAAACAACTAATGGGCAACTCTGACACATGTTCAGACAGGAAAAAGGGGCTTTTCCCATCTAAACTTGCATAGAATTTGCATCTTAAGAGAACTTCTGCCTTAGGATACAAAAATAAATATACAGACACAACTAAGATGATGCCAGAATGGGCATGTAAGTTAATTTTCAGTTAATTTATTTTAAAATGACAACCTTTAACCAAACAAAAGTTAAATTAAATTGAGGGTGCTTTAATACATGTTTTTCTCTGACTCTTGCTGGGTTAATATGACATTTGCTTTTGTTTCTTTTGTAGTAGTGTAATTTTCTTGGGTGAAACACCAAATTTGACACAGCTCAGTTGCATCTATATATTTTACAGTGTTTTTTAATAGATCCACTTGTAAAATTGATAAAAATTTTAGCCCCCTTTGCAGATAAAAGGAAAAAAGTAATTAAAATGGACACATTTTCATAGATCAATACTGAAGATATTCAGCAAATTGAAAATTATATATAAATTTATATATATTTTAAAGCCCGGTTAAGTGAACGCGAAGCTCTCGGCATACAAAGCATAACCCTTAAGCCTGAATGCAAGATAAAACTTTGAGGAACTGTACACCCATCTTCCACATGGCACAACTTTAAATATCACATAAAATCCAGGCTTTTCTTTCATTGGTAGTCAATAGAGGTGCCATTCTCAGCAATTCCTGGCACAAAGGAGATTGATTAATTCAAACTGATACAGCTAATTTACCAAGCAGCTTTCTCGACTGGCAGGGGCGGCTGCTTTTAATTCTTCCTGTCTGCTGCAGCATGGCATGACCTGGCTCTCGCCACCACGTCATTGCTTGAGAATTGTGACCCAAAAAGCCGCTGTACCAGTTTCTGTCCAATATATGTTTATATCTATATGGAAGATAAAAACTTGTCACGGGGACACATCCCTGATCACTGTAGAACATTAGCCATTTGGGGTTAAGGTCTAACACTCGACGAGGCTTCACCTGTTTTATTGCTGAGTATTTCAAGCTAGATGGTTTATATACACACGCACAGAATGGAGAGAAATATATACAGAGACAATATGTACACGAGAAGCTTGCGTTTTATTCCTTCTTCTTCGCCACGGTCAACTCAACGGCCGGCACTCGGAAGCCGGCTTTCGTCCCGCTGTCGTTGCTCGAGGAGGAAGACAGCCGGGACTGCTTCGACGCCAGCGAGGCCCCGCTACCCTTCGCCTTCCCCGCCTCATCATCACTTCCTGTCACCTCGTAAGAACCTTTAGTTTTCGACCCGATCCCTCCAAAGGTACCAAATTTCAGCTTGGCCTGTTTGCCCTTGTCTCCTTCGTACTCCAGCGTGCCGGTCGGCGTGGAGTGCGAGGAGTGCTCGTCGCTGAAGGACGAGGAGCGGTGCCGTGACTTTTTGGTCTTAAAGAAGGAGAACTTCCCCTTTGGAGAGGCGGATCCTTCGCCCACTTCCAGATCTCCCTCCAAGGAACCTAGACTTGCCTTCAGCTCTCCTTCACATCCCGAAACAGACGCAGAGACTTCTGGGGAACCAACACTGCCTTTGGCCTTAGGTTTTGAGAAAGCAAACTTTGGCATTTTAATTTTAGATTTCTTAAGCTTAATGTCAGGTTCTTCCAGTTCAACATTCACTGCCCCACCGTGGAAGCTCGCTTCTGGTGCCTGGGGGAAATCAACGTCAACTCCAACCTCCCTTCCTGTTAGCTCTTGCCCTGATGCCACAAACTTTGGTATTTTCATCTTGGGGAAAGATACTTTGCCAGATGGGCCTTCTAAATGGCCTTGTGGAACATTCACCCCCATGGAAGGACCCTTGAGTTCTAATTTGGGTCCTTTGAGATCACCCCCTGCCTTTGGTCCAGAAAACTTAAGGCCCCCTTCCCCTTGGATACCAACACTTAGCTCTGGAGATTTGACATCTCTAGAAATATCAAAATCTCCTTTGACTGTAGTCCCTTTCAGAGCGATGTTGAGGTCTGGTCCAGAAGCTTTGGGAGCTGACACATTGAGAGAAGGCCCTCTTAAGCTAACGTCAGGAACTCTAGTGTCCAAGCCCATGCCAGAAATGTTCACACCTGGTAGCCCTACTCCAATCTGTGGACCTTTCAGGTCGCCAGCAACACGAGTGTCACCCTTCAAACTTGGTCCTTTCACATTCAAGTCAATGTCTGGGGTAGAAATGTGGGGCCCTTTGAAATCTGCTTCAGGTCCTGAAATACTGATGCCTTCGCCCTGAGAGCCGGAGATGCCAAACTGAGGAAGCTTCATGGAAGGAAGTTTAATCCCACCTCCAGAACCTTCCAAGTTAACTTTGGGTGCCTCAACAGCCACCTTGGGAGAAGACATGCCACCAGATATCCCAAGATCTCCTTTGATCTGTGGTCCTGAAATACTCACACCTTCATCTTGAGGGACGGAGATGCCAAACTGGGGAAGTTTCATGCAAGGAAGTTTAATTCCACCTCCAGAACCATCTAAGTTAACGTTTGGTGCCTCGACCGCAACGCTGGGAGATGACATGCCACCAGAAATCCCGAGATCTCCTTTGATCTTTGATCCTTTCAGGTTCACATCAAACTCAGGTGCGGAAATGCCTGCCCCAGAGGTCATTTTCACTGGTGACCCTTTCACATTTAGGTCTGGGGCGCTCACATCAACATCTAGGCCAGGGGACTTTGGCATTTTAAGCTTTCCTTCAAAACTGCCAAGGCCAACATCTGGCGTGCCAAGTCCAATCTTTGGACCTTTGACATCACCAGAAAGGCCCAAGCCTCCTTCCAATTTTGGTCCTTTCAAGCTCACATCCACTGCTGGAACACTCGCACCTCCTTCAATACTTGGGCCCAAAACGTTGATATCTGCAGACGGCACTTTTCCTTGAAGGTCCACCTCTGGCCCCTCCAGTTTCATGCCTGACTTCCCAATTTTTGGCAAACTGAATTTTGGGAATTTGACTTTCCCTTCTGGGCCATGCAGCTCAGCTTTGGGAAGATCAACGTCGCTCTTTAGCTTTGGTCCTTTCAAGTTGATGTCAAGGTCAGGAGCAGAGACGGAAGGAGCAGAAACATCCATGGATGGTAGATTAACGGAGGGACCTTTCAGGCATATGTCTGGAGCACTAACATTTGCATCGAAGCCGGGCACCTTCAGATCCCCTTCCAGTTTGGGCCCGGCCACACCAACGTTTCCACTTGAGAGTTTGAACTTAGGTTGTTTAAGGCTGATGTCGGGTCCTTCAACGTTGACATCGGGGAGACTGGCGCTTCCGCTGGGAACAGTAACATCAAGCCCTGGTGCTTTGATCTCTCCTTCCACCTTGGGCAAAGAAGCATCGGCCTTGAACTTCGGTGACTTTATATCAAACTCAACATCGGGAAAAGAGATTTTCCCAAACACGGGTTTCTTTCCCTTGGGTGACTTGAGGCTGACGTCCCCTTTCAGAGAGGCGTCAGGGACGGAGATGCTTCCTTCTAAATCAGGTGATCTTACACCGGCCTCCATCTCTCCGCTCACATCAAATGCACCCTTCTTGCCTTTAATTTTCGGCCCGCTCATGTGCAGTTTGGGCATCTTAAATTTGCTTTTCTTTCCTTTACCAGAAATGGCAATGTCCGGTGACTCGACGTTCAGTTCACCTTCTGGAAGAGAAACGTCCAAGGTGGGAGATTTTACATCTGCTTTCGGGCTTTTGGCTCCAAACCCAAATTTTGGCATTTTAAATTTGGGAAGTTTAACATTGCCTTCTGGCCCTTCAATATTCAGATCTGGACATTCCAAATCAATATCAGAACCTTTCAGTTCAATTCCTGGACCTTTTAAATCACCTTCAATCTTGGGAACGGAGACATCAACTTCACCCTTCATGCGGTGTCCTTTCAGATTTAAGTCTATCTCTGGCATGGAGATCTGAGGGGTTCGGAAATGCATTTCCGGCATCTTGACACTGGGTCCCTTCAGATGCCCTTCAACAGCCACGCTGGGTCCTTCGAGGTTAACTGAAGGACCAGCGAATTCTAATTCTCCTTTGGGTAGATTCACATCTACCTGAGGTGCCTCTCCTTTGACTCCAGGCATGCCAAATTTTGGTAGTCTCATCTTGGGGAATTTCAGTTTTCCATCTGGACCATGAATGTCAATATCAGGAGCATCGATGTCCAATTTAGGGCCTTTGAGGTCAATTTCAGGCCCTTTCAAGTCCCCTTCCAGCTTTGGTCCAGAAATGTTTAGGTCACCTTTCATCTGTGGGCCTTTCAAATTGAGATCTACATCAGGCATGGAGATTTTGGGTGCCTTGATGTGCATCTCAGGCATCTTGAACTTGGGCCCTTTCCACTTCCCTTCTGGACCTTCGAGCTCAACGTCGGGGATATCTACATCCAGTTTCGGTCCTTTGATGTCCACATCAGGGCCCTTCAGATCCCCTTCCAGCTTGGGCACCGAGACGTCCACGTCTCCCTTCACTTTGGGGCCCTTCAGGTTCAGGTCAAAATCTGGCATGGAGATCTTGGGGGCCTTGAAGTGCATTTCAGGCATCTTGAACTTAGGACCTTTAAGTTTTGCTTCTGGACATTCCAACTCAACATCAGGTACCCCAATGTCCAAGTTGGGGCCTTTTACATCAACACTTGGTCCTGTCACATCACCACTTATCTTGGGGACAGATACATCAACATCCATGTCTCCTTTCAATTTCGGGCCCTTCAGGTTGAAGTCAACATCTGGCATGGAGATTTTGGGAGCTTTGATGTTCATTTCAGGCATTTTAAACTTGGGGCCCTTCCACTTCCCATCTGGACCTTCCAGTTCAACATCAGGAACATCAATCTGGGGGCCTTTGATATCTATCTCAGGGCCTTTCAGATCCCCTTCTATTTTGGGGACAGAAACATCCACATCACCTTTAACCTTCGGACCTTTCAAGTTTAGGTTCATATCTGGCATGGAGATTTTAGGTGCCTTAAAATGCATATCAGGCATCTTGAACTTCGGGCCTTTCAATTTTCCATCTGGACATTCGAGCTCAACGTCGGGGACATCTACATCCAGTTTCGGTCCTTTGA